TGACAACTGGCTTGAATTTGCACAAATTTTCTTTTTTGCTCAAATTACTGCAAGAGTCTCAAGCATCTTGCTGTAAGCATCACAGTCAAAGGAAAAAAAAAGGATAACTTTCTACGTTCTGCTTCCTAGCCTCACGTGAGTGTCTCACATTTGGTAAACTCAACCTGGAACCTGGTTCATAAGAGAGTCTGGGAAGCATAATTTTCAGAATTTCATTTCCCAAAACTGTAACAGATCTTTAAAGTGGATAAGAAGGGTACCGTGTGCCATCCCACACTCTGGGGCAAACCTGAGTCATGGGAACCTGCAGAAAAAGGAGGCTCTGGAAGAACCCATGTGACTACTCAAGCTCATAACTGGTCATGTAGAACCTCCCCTACCCCTTAAGTGGCCTTTCTATACCACTTCCCTGCCCCTGCATGGATGATCAGAAATCCCTGTTAGGGGACAGTGGTGGTGGTGGTGGTCCAGTGGTTAAGACTGCACATTTCCAATTCAGAGGATGTGAGCTCAATCCCTGGCACAGAAACCTAGGTTCCACATGATACATGGAGCAACCAAAAAAAATGAAGAAATAAATAAAATTAAAATTAAAAAGACAGATCCCTGTTAGAAAATTGGGAGGAGGAATGGAAGCACAAACTGGAGAAATAAAAAAAAAAATGATGCTCCATGCCTATCTATGAGGCATGAGCCTAGGTCAGGGAAGGAGAGAAGGGGAGGTGTAAACTCTGAATGATGTTGGAGGTTTAGACCACTGTGTGAGGTTGGACATTTCCAGTGCTGAACACAGCTTGCTTTTACAACTAGAAGTAACAGGAAAAATTTATTTTTGTGTAAGAATGATCAAAAAAGTCATGGGACTTGCCCTAGATTTTATCCAAAGGGCTGCTACCTACCAAGCAGGTTTGAATGGGTGACTGGGGAAGAAAAGAATGAAGTTCACTGATTACATTCTATAAGGTTGGCTCTTTCAACAAAATGGATGTATTTCTTAGTTTATGAAGATAGATTGGAATATCTACCTATTATGGGTTTTTCCCCCTTAATTTTTAAGTATGGGATTATTTGCTCAGATCACTCCTCCCCTCTCTACTTCAGGGTTGTTTCTCAGAGTGGACTATCAAGGCGGGGAAGAGGGAACTAGCTCTGAGGAACTGTACTAGGTCTTTGTGCATTAGCTTGTTAAACTGTACAACAGTCAGGAGGAACGTGCCCACACTTAGAAGTGAGGGGAGTGTGCATCAGGAAGGCAATGCCATCTCTCAGGCTGCAGAACTAGGAAGTGGTGAAGCTGGAATCTGAATCAGATTCCAGATGTCTAAAAATGATAACATTATCACATATAGCCCGAGAGACCTCAGGAAAGACAGAGATGCTGTGGAATGCCAAAACATTCCACAGCCTGGGATCCATGAAAGGACCTGTAAGTGCCTATTCAAGAGAGACGCTTCTGTTTGTCCACCTCTGGTTTCTAGTGAGGCTGTTTATTTCTCCACATTTCATCGCTTTTTCCCTACTTCCCTCCCTCCCTCCCTCCCTCTCCTTTCCTCTCCTTCACTCCTGTCTGTTAAATTCTCTGTTCATCTCCACTGATGAGGTATAATCCAGCAAATGACTACATTTGATTTCTATCTGCCCTTTGTTTTGGTAATACGCTTTTATCGGTTTGCTAACTGACAAATTTGGTAGGACAAACTTGCAGGGAGTGGATGAGTGGGGTGGGTGGTGCGTGGGTACAAACCGGAGTGGGGCCTGGAGCTGGTGTGGTCTCCTTGTCGGGAGGGCCATGGGAACGTGACTGGCGGGCTAGGCCAAGCCGCAAGCCGGCGGAGGGACCCGCGGCGTCCAGGGTAAGTAGCTGGAGCAGAGCGCCACCCAGTGTTGGCGCACCCCTCGGGACATACGTGCCGCTACTGGCACCCACCGAGAAAAGCGCCTACATCCCGCCGTGTATCTCTAGCGCCGTCTACTGGTTAGCAGTGTACTCACTGCGCAGGAGAGACGCTTAAAGAGAACTCCATCTGCAGAGCAAGTTTTTTTTTCCATTTATTTTTATTAGTTGGAGGCTGATTACTTTACAATATTGTCGTGGTTTTTGCCATACATTGACATGAGTCAGCCATGGATTTACATGTATTCCCCATCCCGATCCCCCCTTAAAGGATGGATTTGGAGCTGATTCCAGAGGTGAAAGGCTGAAAAACGGACTTCAGTTCTTGTCTTCTTTGAAGAACTCAGCAGAGATGAAGATTGTGAGGAAAAAAAAAAGGGGGGGGGTGTTTATTAGAAGCATAATACATGTGGAAGCAGCAAAGTGTGTGTGGAAACAACAGGATACTTTTTGAAGGAGCACACAGGTGAGCTCAGAGTGAGTTGCATCTACTAGGGGCAGCTTAGGTTGCTTATGTAGTGGCAGTTTTCTGGATTTTTTTTTTTTTTTCTGGCCAGTCATCTCCATATTTGGTCCTGGTGTGGGGCACACCTCTCAGCCAAGATGGATTCCAGCTTGCATCTTCTCCCTCCTTTTGTCCTTCCCCTAGACTGAAGGCCTTCTCTGCATATGTATCCTGGGGCGGGGGGGAACCCACAAGAATGCACCCAATCAGGCCCAATGCTCCCACTGGTATCCCATCTCAAAGCATCAGCAGGACACCAGTTACAGGGCTCAGCCTGGGGCCTATCTATCTCCTCCATCAGAGCTGCAGGGAAACTGGTAACTGATCATTGTGGGGAAACTGGTAAACCAGCTCCCCAGCTGCCCCCCCCCACACACACACACTTCTCTTGTGTCCATTCCCAAGCACTACCTCCCCTTCTCACAGCCACTAACCTAATTTTTTAAACCACTTTACACCCATTACAATGGCTAAAATGAAAATGACACCCCCAAATGTTGGCAAAGATATAGAACCGGAATCCTCATACATGACTGGTGAGTGTGTAGAACAGTCTTGAAGTACTGCTTGATAGTTTCTTACAAAGTTAAATATACACCTATCCCATAAACCAGCAATCTCCATAGGGATTTACCTCCCCAACTACAAAATAAAAACATATATCCACAACAAGACTTGTAAAACAATGTTTATAGCAGCTAGAAAATGGATAATGTAATATATTCATAAAATTGGTATATTCCACAGCAATAAACAGAATGACTACTGAGTCACATGAAACTTGGGTGAATTTCAAAAAAGATGTGTGAAAAAAAAATTCACAAAGGAAATAAACTATATGATTTTTCTTACATGAAATTCAAGAACAGGTCAAACTAATCTATGGTGATAGAAATCAGAACAGTGATTTCCTGTCATTAGTGGGAACTAACTGGAGGTGGAGATGAGAAAAATTTTTAGAGTGATGGCAATGTTCTAAATCTTAATTGGGATATTGGTTACATGAATGTATATATTATTTCTATATTTGGGAAGTGATCTTTTTAATACAGGGAATTTATATTCTTTAGAAGTTAGGGACATTTTTCTAATAATTCCATTAAGTGAAAATAAAGGAGAAAGTAAAACCAGGATTTCTCATTTAGGGGAATCACTATACCATATTGGTAAGATTCTTCCAGACAGTATGATCACAGTGTTACATAAAAATCTGCCTGCAATGCAGGAGACTCAGGTTTGACCACTGGATCAGGAAGATTCCCCTGGAGAAGGAAATGGCAACCTACTCTAGTATTCGTGCCTGGAACATCCCATGAACAGAGGAGCCTGGTGGGCTACGGTCCATGGGGTCACAAAAGGGTCGGACAAGACTGGGCAACTAAACAACAAATGTAAATAAAGACAGTTCCTTAGCTTATCTAGTATCTGATTATGCAGACAATTTGCTGGCCTGCTACCTGCGCTTATCTGAGCATGGAGTGAAACGAATCAGAGAGAAGTACCAGGATGGAGAGAGGAGGTGCCATTTGGCGGCAGTTGTCAGGGTGGAAGAGATGAGGCAGGAGCTTGTTCTCCCATGACAAGAAACTGTCATAAACTGTGTGAGAAGGCTCTGTTAGAAGTTACAGACCCTTCTCCACAGAGTAAGGTTCTTTTGTATATGTGCAGTCTCATACAACCATTTTTGTATATGGTTTTGGAGAGCATCACAAAACTCCTGAGGTTCATTTTTAGGGAAGACAAGTTAAAAACAAAATAAGCCTGAATTTGAGAAAACAATTTCAATGAACCAGAACAATTGTATAAAAAACACCTGTTCGTTTTATCATGAATTTAACTTTGTTCAAGCAATATGATTAATCCAGTACCACCGAGCATCCCCCAGACTTCCTGGTTAAGTACCGCTCCCTATTTCCTCATCGGTGACTACCATTCTCTGTGAGCTGCTGCTATAGTTGTAATGAGACCATGTATAGAATGTAATTGTAAAGTGTTGCTAAGTAAATTCAGTGAGGTACTCAAATCCTGGAAATGAACAATATGACTCTCTGCCTTCCCTGATAATGAGTTGAAACATGACCATGTTCCTACATTTTCAACGCCTCTTTATCAAAAGACATGGTCGTCTGGAACTTGTCTAAACATAGGCTTATATGAACTAAGCCACAGTCATGTATAGTCATTATCAAAGAAATCATTTCATGTCTACAGTTTATTAATGAAGGAGTAAGAAAAAAAATTAAGTTTGTGACCAGAGCAGAAAAGAATTCCTCAGGTCCATGTCCCAGTACTTAGGACAGTGCCTGGAATGGGGCAGGGACTAAACGGAGAGAGACTTAATCCTAATGAACTGCTGGATGTTGCCTCATTGCTGGATCATTTCTCTAGAAGCAAGAAAGGGAAAGACCAAAAAATAAACAAACAATAAACTTCACAGAATTTTCTTAGGGGAAAAAAAGTTTTAATTAATACATTTAGCACAATTCTCTTTATAAAACATACTTATTTTAACACCCTGAGCAAAAGCCCTGTCATTTCATTTCCAAAGACAAATCATTTCAGTGCTCTTCCTTGAAGTGCCTGCATTTTCTTCCTCTGGTCTCAGAGAAGGGCATGGGATGCATGCTTCAAGTCGTCAAGATGAAAGTCCAGGAGGGAGAAGTCCTGTCGCAGTGGGTAGCTGTTTTCATCTAACACAAAGAGGCTCTGCACCTTCAGGACACAAGGTGCCCTGCTGCCCGCCAGCAAGGCATGGAGCAGGTCCGCGGCGACCATTCTGTAGGTGACATCAGAGGGGGGCGCTGAGGAAGAGGAAACACGAGAGCTTAGTGTCCCTTCCGAGGGAATGGAAATGCTCACATTTCAAGTGTTCATTGTTTCCCTTGGTTTCTTAAGTCCCAAAGCCACTGTAAGTATCTCTATCCTTGCTCTTTCTAGCCATAGGTTACTCCATAATGATGAGGTGCAATTCCTGCTGCTCTGAAGAGAAAGCACAAGTTCAGACTGATGGTGTTTCCTATTATGGCACAGCCATTGGCTTCATAAAACAATACAGGAAAGAACTGAGATTAATCTTTTCCTAAATTAAGCTTGAAACAAAAAGGGCATGTCCATATCAGAAAAGAACTCTTTATGTTTATCTAGTCTATAGCTCTTATCATGGTTATATATACACATACCATTTGTATAACAGAACCCTGAGTCAGTTACTTAATGAATATCAAAATCTTTTTAAAATATTTATTTCTTTGTGCCAGGTCTTAGTTGTGGCAGGCAGGATCTTCGATCTTCACTGCAGGACCTTTGGTCATGGCTGTGGGATCCAGTTCCCTGACCAGGGACCCTGTGCATTGGGATCATGGAGTCTTAGCCCCTGGACCACCAGGGATCTTAAGACAAGTCCTCCTGCTCCAAGGTACAGATGGTGAGGATGAAGATGGAGGAAAATCCCTCTATCCCTGGGGGAGGGGCAGAAAACCATCTTGGATCAAGACCATCAGCAGTACCCTGCTGCTGGGAGAGGGGTAGGACCATGCAAAGATACTCAACAAAGACACAAGGCAGAGCCTAGCTGCTATGCAGGAGGGACAGGGTCTGTTAGAAAGCACCACATCCAAAAACGAGGCACACATAGAACCTGCCTAAGACTACGGCTGGAAAAGAATCAAAGAGAATCACTCCTGCCCCTCTCTCTAGGCTGGGATGCAAAAATGACAACCAACCGAGCCTGCGCAACCTGGTGAGGCATAAGAGTGTAAGAAGCTCTTTGAGGCCTGGGTGCAGGGTGAAAGATTCAAGCTGACAGTGAAGCAGGAATATTCGGAAGAAGCTCTCTGGAGAACCACTCCCCACCATGATCACGCATAATGCTACATAATTTGAAGCCAGTGGTGACCTGAAGGTAACCAGAGCAATGAAAAACTCAAATCCGACTCATGGTCTGACAAAATTTACTCTGCTCTGCTCACCCCCACCCCCATTAAAAGTCGAAGAAAATAAGCATGCTCACTTTAGGTATAAATGCTGTTCACCTCAGTCTGTATTGTTCTATACGCAATGTTCAACATTTAAGCAAAAATGAAAGCCAGAAAAAGTGACCCACTATTAAGAGACAGAGCCATCATTAAACGAGATTAACTCATCTGCTTAAAGAGTCTAAGACTAATGAGGAAAGGATGGAGTTTGAGCATCTGACAAATGGAACATCTTCATTTTGTTGTTAGCTACTGATGATCAGCCACTGTTGCTGTACCTATCATCAGAGCTGAGGTTCCTGACTATCCACATGACTGACACTGGACAGTCTTCATACATTTATATAGTGTTGCACATTCATTTACTTGACTATTAAAAAAACTAAGAGACTGGTGTTTTCCCTCACCAATTGGAAATTTAGAGTAAGAAGAGATTAGGTACCTACTTCTTTCTCTTCATGTGCTGAGACAGATGTAGAGCAAGTCTTACCTTCCAACTTACATAATCTTGTTTTTTTTTTTTCATTGTATCTAGGAGAATTCTATTTATTTAAAAAAAATTTTATTTTATATTGGAGTATAGTTGATTTACAATGTTGTGCTAGTTTCTAGTGTCCAGCAATGTGTTTCAGCTACACATATACATATGTCTATTCATTTTCAGATTCTTCTCCCACATAGGTTATTACAGTGCACTGAGTAGAATTCCCTGTGCTATATAGTTGGTCCTCATTGATGACTTCTTTTATATACAGTAGTCTGTATAGTCTTGTTTTTCACTCAAGCTAAATTATCCTTCTGCTTATATATTGACAGGAAAAGGAATTAATTTATAGTATAGTGTTCCTTCTATTTTAATATACTATCTGTATTCCTGATATGAATGGTTTAACAGAGGACAACCTCTTGATGGCATGTTGTTGATATCTTACCTATTATTCTGTTGAGCCAGTCAGGAGAAATGTTGAGAAGAATCTTCTCTATCAGCTTTGATCCTACATGGATGCAGACCTTACATTTTCCATCAACTATGGTCATTAAAGCTGGCCTACAAAACAGTAAACAGCTCAGGACTGTCAAAAAGATTTTCAATTAAAGAAATGTTTAAATGTAATATAATTTCAAAAATCAGTTTTATAAAAAACATATTTATTTATTTACTTATTTTGGTGGCACTGGGTCACTGTTGCTGTGCAAAGGCTTTCTCTGGTTGTGGTGAGTAGGGGCTACCCTAGGTGTGCTGTGTGGGCTTCTCATTGCTATGGCTTCTCTTGTTTTGGAGCACAAACTCTAGTGCATGCTGGCTTCATAATTACCACACACAGGCTGAGTTGCCCCGAGGCATTTGGGATCTTCCCAGGCCAGGGATCAAACTGGTGTCCCTTGCAAGGTGGATTCTTAACCACTGAACCACCAGGGAAGCCCAAATCACTAGGTTTTTCTGCAGAGTTAATTTTAATTCCTAAAACAACACTAGGATGTTCTGAAATGCCCTAGAAATGAAGGGCTTTTATTTTAAAGAGTTTCAAGTGATAAATTAATAGATATTATTTATTTCATATTCATTTTAAATTTTCAGATACTAATATAAGAAGACATAATTTTACCCTATTGTGCAAATTACTTTTAGAGATAAAAATGATGATAATCACATATTTCACAATCACAATTTCAAGTTATTTTTTTCCACTGGATTCTTTACCATAAAAAAAACTGTTCTGCATGTCACTAAATAAAGACAAAGGAGTAAACACAAACCATGATACAATCTAAAGAACAAACAATATGAACAAAATGACACGAGTAAAATTATTGTTTACTTTTAAAGAAAGGGATATACTCCTTTTTAAAACAAATTATTACAAAATAAACAGAACAGAATTTAGAAAGACTTACCAGTATAGGGGAATTAATAAATTCATAAACTAAAACATAACTACTGATTTTCTCTCTAAAAACTTACTTCCCCCTTTATCCACATGATGATTCTAAGTCCTTTTATCTTTTTATAATCTTTCCCCAGGGTATCTCACTTCCTCCATTCTCTTTTTAAAATTTGGATGTGCCATGTGGCACATGGCCCTTCAATTCCCTGACGAGGGGCTGAACCTGCGTCCCCTGCATTGGAAGCACGAAGTCTTAACCACAGAACCTCCAGGGAAGTCCCTGTTCTTCCATTCTTTATTTCAACAAATACGTGCTCAAAATCTTGTACTATTCAGTGTATACACTGGGTATACACTAGTGAATAAGAGAGATCTGCTTCCTTCACTCAAGGAACTTCAGAGTTTAGTGGTACAGAAAGACAATTAAGGTTTTCAATAATGGTGGCAAGATGCTTCAGTGGGGATGGAATAGGCTTTTCAATCAACTGGCCAGGGACAACTGAATGAAAGAATGAAGTTGGACTCCTTCCTTGTACCACATATGGAAATTAATTCAAAATAGACCATGAATCTATATGTAAGAGCTAACTATAAAATTCTTGGAAGAAAATATAGGAGTAGACCTCCATGATACTGGCTTAGGAAGGATACTTTTCTTAGATATGATACCAAAAGCACATGCAACAAAAAAGAGAAACAAATAATAAAAAGTGACAGCAAGGACACAGAGAAACTGCAACCCTCATTCACTGCTGGTAAAACTAAAATTGTGCAGCAGCTTTGGAAAACAGTTTGGCAGTTACTCAAAAGGATTAAAAAGTTACCACGTCAACCTAGCAATTCTACTCCTGAGTACATGCCCAAGAAAAATGAAAACACGGCCACACAAAAAGCTATACATGAATGTTTGGAGCAGTTTTATTTATGATAGTGAAAAAGTAGGTACAATCCAAATGTTCATCAATTGATGAATGGATAGATAAAATGCGGTATATCCATATTGTTGTTGTTGTTTAGTCATCAAGTTGTGTCCAACTCTTTTGTGACCCCAAGGACTAAGCCCGCCAGGCTCCTCTGTCCATGAGATTTCCCAAGCAAGAATACTGGAGTGGGTTGCCATTTCCTTCTCCAGGGATCTTCCCAACCCAGAGATCAAATGTGCATCTCCTGTATTGACAGGCAGGGACGCCCATATTATCTGGCATTAAAACAAAATGAAGCACTTGATATATGCTACAATATGGATGAAACTTGAAATGTTTTTAAAAAAAGAAGCCAGTCATAAAAGACTGTACACTCTATGATTATTTATAGGAAATGTCCAAAGTAAGTACATCTATAGAGCCAGAAAAACTAGTGGGTGCTCTAGGTTGGGAAGGGAGAATGAGAAGTGGCTACTTTGGGGGAGGGAGAGGTGAAGGTGATCTAAAATTGATTGTGGTAACAGTTGCACAAGCCTGTGAATATACTAAAGCTCTGGAATTTGACATTTTAGATGGATTACTTTGATGGACTGTGAATTATATCTCCATAATCAGGTTTTTCAGAAGACTATGCAAGTAAATGACTCCAGGTGCACACACAGGGCACTTCAACACAGAACAAAGGAGGTGACTAAAAAAAAGTCTCCCTGATGAAGGGCCTCTCAACCAAGACACAAACGAGTCAGCCTTGTGGAGTTAGGCAGGGGGAAAAGCAGGCGAGAAAGCCCTAAGGAGGAAAAAGTCAGAGTGCTAAAAACCTTATAGAAGGCCAGTATCAACCCAGAGATCAAGGCAAGGAGTGTAGCAGATGAGCGTGATGGGACATGCAGAGTGTGATGGGAAATTCTGGAAAGGTTCTAAAGGAATGGAGTGGTTACTCTGTTGGCTGTGGAGAATGGACTTGGTGGAGACAAGGGGAGGAGGGGACCATGCACCTGAATCCAATCTTCTTGTTCAGACAAGCAATTTTCAAAGTAAGAGCAAAGTTCATTTACTTATTCATAACAAACATAAATATATGTAAAGAGAAATAAGGCTAATGGATTATGCTTCTATAAATTTTCTTATTTAAAGTATTCTATGATAACATGCTGAACATATTTGCATTTGGTTTTTAGATATTGCAGTATTTAGAAATAGAAAAGAGCACAAAACACTGATTGCTAATCTGCTATCCTTAATGTTTAGTGTGAAGATGAGAAAACTGAGGTGCAGAAAAGTTAAACATCTTACTAGCTTCCACAACTCAGGGGTTAGATCATATAATTAATCTTAGCCTTTAAATTCCAATAATATGTTAAGATGGGAAAATGAGTTTCTTATGAGCCATTCAGAACTTGGTTAAAAATTAAACCAAGTAAAAGGTTTCCTTAGTATATTTGCTTAAAGACAATAAAACCTCCTAATTACTGCTTTTTAAAAGTTCCTGTTATGATTACTGGGCAATTTTTGCTTTCATAAATAGCCATTTTTCCATCACTGAGGAGGAAAAAATTTATTCTCTTGGATTAGCTCCAGTTCTTTTTCATTAGAAACACTTGATATATGTAACTTTCTGGTCATTTCTAGTCCCATAATAATAAACATTTCCCATCCAGCTGGCCTGCTTAGTTGCCTTACCTATAGTACATTTTCTTCATAGTAAATGGCAAGCAGCTAAAACATTGTTTGTAGATCTTGTTCTCATCTGTTTGTAGTTCCAATCCACATTTTGCACAGCCAGTGTATGTAATATTGGGAAGAGAAGAAAAAATACTCTTCAGAGAACTGCGAGCATTTAGAGCTATTTTCTGAACTGCTGTAATGGGAAACACTAGCTCTAAAATCTGGGCTTTGATTAGAATCACTCCTGTAAAAAATAAGCAAAAAGAAATATCATAAATTAGGAGGCCAAACCCAAATCTTTAATTTACAAACATGGTTAATTATATGGTTGATTCACAGTTACTTATAGTAAAGGACACTGAGGTCTTGTTGTTGGTCTTCTCTACCCTTTTGCTAGACAATCTTACTCACTTATGGCTTCAGCATTTACTCTAAAGTGTAAGCGGTCATCTGCCTGCAGCTAAGAGTAAAGATCTACTTGGCTAACATGGTTGAAAAGATGGATGTCTGTACCAGGGAGGGCCCCACAGGATCCTGCTCAGTTTCACTACCAGGGACTGACTGTGTGCTGTGCTGTGCTGAGTCCCTCAGTCATGTCTGACTCTGCAACCCCATGGATTCTCTGTCCATGGGGATTCTCTAGGCAAGAACTCCCCATGGTAAGTGGGTTGCCATGCCCTCCTCCAGGGGATCTTCTCAACCCAGGGATCGAACCCAGGTCTCCCGCACTGCAGGTGGATTCTTTACCACTTGAGCCACCAGTAAAGCCCAAGAATACTGGAGTAAGGGTAGTTCATCCCTTCTTCAGAGGATCTTCCCGATTTAGGAATAGAACTAGGGTCTCCTGCATTGCAGGTGGATTCTTTACCAGCTGAGCTACCAGGGAAGCTCACCAAGGACTGACTATAACAGCACAAAGTTTTCATATGGTTTCCCAATGGGGAGTGTATCTCCAGGGCTTGCAGGAATATTCCCAATTCCCAGCCTCATGCCCCAAATGAAGTGAGGATATATCCTTTGTGCTACTAATCATCAAAACTATAGCCACCTAATTTGTTGTTGTCTATATGTTATTTTTATTGTTAAATCTAATTCTAGGTCTCTAACCCCAAGATGTTTTATGTAAAAGATATGTAACAGGAATTTCCTGGTCCTGTGGTTAAGACTTTGCCTTGCTATGAGGAGGGTGTAGGTTTGATCTCTGGTTGAGGAGCTAGGATCTCACATGCCTTGTGGCCAAAAAAACCAAAGCAATATTGTAACAAATTCAATAAAGACTTAAAAAAAAAGAAGATAACAGAGTTGACTCTTCTGTGACACCAACTTAAATGTAGCCCCTCTTCTGTCTATGGCATTCTTCTTGCAGTGACCATCTTCTTAAGCATGTGAGGCTTCAGAGGCGGGGACCGGAGGGACACATAAGTAGGACTAACAGGTTTAGAAACATACACGGCACTATAACACTACCCAAGATTTCACCAGTTAGTATAAACCTAGTGTCTTCTGTGGCCACTTACTTCCATTTTGGAAAGTTGTATCAAATTTTTGTTTGATGATGTAAAAATCTGTAAATTTTCTATTATCTGTGTTTATTTTCCAGAAATATTATTAATTTATATTAACTGTTAGTATTAAAACAGATAATGACCCTGTGGGACCCTCCCAGCTACAAATTCCTTTCTGTCCTCATTTCTTGTTTGTAAGAAATAGGCTTCATTCAGCCTCCTTGATCTTCCTTGAGTTCCAATTCAGTTACTAATCTGGGAAGGGAGGGAATGCAGAAATGAAGAAGGAGCAGACAAAAAACAATAGTACACCAATGGGGCAGGGTCCTTCTCATAAAATATATATAACAGTATCTTTGAGTTCTTCTGCAGGAACTAAGGCCCCCACCCAGGTGGAGGATGGTAACTTTAGGCTAAAAAGCACAAGATTCCTAGAACATTATCCTGTTACCTTACCACCAACCAATCTGAAGAAGTCACATCCTTTCACACCCCAAATATTGCCTATAAAGACTTCTCCCTGAAAACAATCAGGGACTTAGGATTTTTTGAGCATGAGTTGCTCATTCTCCTTGCTTGACCCTTCAATAAACCTTTTTCTGCTCCAAACTCTGACATTTCAGTTCATTAGGCCTCACTGTGTGTCCAGCACATGGACTTACATTTGGTTAAAGTTAATAATAAATGTTCCCATGTAGAAGTGGGTATATGGAGTTCTCTGAGAATAAATCTCTGTAACTCAATTAAAAAGTGGGGTTTTGTTTTTTAATTTTCTTGGCCATGACTGAGCTCTTAAACCTGTGAAGTCTGACACTAACTCGAAGTAGGTAGCATCAAAATTGAATTGAACTGTACAACACCCAGTTAGTGTTCACAAGGTTGGAGAATTGGCTGTTGGTGTGGAAAACAATAACAAACCATACATTTGATGTCAGAAGTGTTGTGTGTAAAAATAGCTGACACCTGAAAACAACTAAAAACTAAACAAAATGTATGAAACAGCAATTCTCAGGACATTAGATATCAGGCAACAAAGGACAGTGATCCCTAAGAGATGAGAAGCAAAAGATGTAAGCCTAGTAACTGCCCCAGCTTATAGACAAGAGTTTGCTGGCTATGGTATCGGAAAGGAGACCCAGGCAGAGCCTGTGGTTTCCCTGAACTGACAGCAGACACAGCTTTGAGTCTGGAAGGCTAATACGGCTAGAGATATCAGGGTTGGTTATTAGACAAGACAAAGGGGAACTCCGGAGAAAACTCTGGAGCACTGCAGAGGGTACCCCTCCTTGAAGAATTCAACTGAGTACTGACCAATATATGTAACCAGAGGGTAAGAAAAGAACCATCCAAAAGTATTGAACAATCCCTGAAGCTTGCAGAGAGATAGGAATAGTGTCTTCTCCCACCAGCTAGAGTGGAAAATCTCATAATCCATAAGGTATTGGGTAGAGAACTTAGAAGCTGTACTTAAAGGAAAATTCATGGCACTAAACTACACTGAGAAAAAACATCTCAGTTACCTCCATTTACACCCTAAGAAATGTAAAAAAAAGAAAGAAAGAAACCCAAGAAAGCAGAAGAAAGGAAAAAAAAAAGATCAGAGCAGAAATCAATGAACTAGAAAATAGAAAAATTAATGAATACAAAAGGTAGTTAGTTATATGAGCAGATTAATAAAACTGGTAAAACTCCAGCCAAAATGATCAGGTTAAAAAAAAAATAGAGAAGGCACAAATTAGCAATATTAGGTAATACCAGTATTACTACAAATTCTATATATATTAAAAGGGATAGTAAGAAAATATTATCACTTTATGCCAACAAACTTTTGTTGTTGTTGTGCCAACAACCTAGATGAAATGAACAAATTTCTTGAAAGATACAAACTATCAAAGCGCACTTAAGAAGAAACAAGTAACTGGAACATCCCTGTATCTATTAAAAGAAATTGAATTTGTAGTTAAAACCTCCCAATAAAGAAAACTTCAGGCCCAGATAGGCCTGAAGGAGTTCTACCAAACATGTATGGAAGAAACAGACCATTAATCTGTTAGAAATTAGATTAGATTAGAAATTAGATCATTAATCTAATTCTAAATAAACTCTTCTGGAAAAATGAAAAGGAAAAACTATATACCAACTCATTCTATGAGCATTGCTCTAACACCAAAACCAGAAAAAGATACAAGAAAACTGCAGACAAATATCCACCGTGATATAGACATAAAAATTCTTATTAACAGATATTATCAGTAATTCTCTGGGCTTCCCAGGTGTCTCAGTGGTAAAGAATACAACTGCCAATGCAGCAGACACAGGTTTGATCCCTGGGTCGGGAAGATCCCCTGGAGAAGGAAGTGGCAACCCACTCCAGTATTCTTGCCTGGGAAATCCCATGGACAGAGGAGCCTGGTGGGCTACAGTCCATGAGTTGCGAGGAATGGGACATGACTTAGTGACTAAACAACAACAAGAACAACAAAAAGCAAGAATTCCCTGGTGGTCCAGTGGTTAGAACCCAGCACTTTCACTGCTGGGGCACAGGTTCAGTCCCTGGTCAGGGAACTACCCTACAAGCTGGATGCAGCACACACCCCCCTCAAAAAAAAAGTTTTTTAAAGCTTTTTTTGATGTGGATTATTTTTAAAGTGTTTATTAAATTTGTTACAATATTGCTTCTGGTTTGCATCTTGTTTTTTTGGCCTCAAAGCATGTGGAATTTTAGCTTTCTGACCAGGGACTGAAGACAAGCTACCTGCCTTAAAAAGGTGACGTCTTAACTGGACCACCAGGTAAGTCCCCCAAAAGAATTTTTACCCAGAATATAAAGAACTCTCAAAATTCAATAAAACAATGAAGCCAACTTTTTTTCTGGTAAGCAAAAGATTTCAATTGACATTTCATTAAAGAAGATATATAGGTGGCAAATTAAGTACATAAAAGATGTTCAACATCACCAGTCAATAAGTAAGTGCAAGCTGAAATTATGATGACCCATTACTACACATCTATTAGAGTGCACAAAATTAAGAAGAATATCCATACCAAATGTTGAGGTGGGTGCGGAAAAAACAGAACTCATACACTGTGGTGGAAATGTAAAATGGTACAACTGCTTTGGAAAACAGGCAGTTTCCTTATTTTTTTTTTTTTGGCAGTTTCTTTAACAGTTAAACATAAGCCTACCATATAATCCAACTATTGATTCAATTCTTGGGTATTTGCTCATGAGAAAAGAAAGACTATATCTGAATAATGTCTTGTACTTAAATGTTTATAGAAACTTTATAATAGCCAAGAACTGGAAACAACCCAGATGTACATCCATAACTGAACAAATAAACAAAGCACGGTATATTTGTATAATAAGATAAAGAATGATTTACTGATACACACAACCACATAGATACATCTCAAAGAAACTAATACATCTCAAAGAATTTGCTAAGTTAGAGATGTCAAACAAATGATTCCATATATATAAAAGCACAGAAAATTCAAACTAATCTCTATTGACAGAAAGCAGATTGACTACCTGGAAGGATCAGGGGCAGGGATGAGGGACAGAAAGAGATACAAAGAGGCAGGTGACGATTTCATGACTGTGGTGTTGCTTTCATGGGTTTCATGTCCATACTTACCAATGTGAATGTACACACTTTATTAAATAAGGGTAATCGCCTATATGAAAACTATATCCTGTTAAAAGAATCCTGTTAAAAAAATTTTTTTAATCTAACATTCTGAACCAATTTGAAAAGCACTAACTTGAAATGTCCTAATAACTGCATATGACCCAACTCTTACATTTCTGTGGACAAACCAGAAGAGGGCAGAGCTTGCTAGTAAAAAAAACCCCAAGAAAGAGAGTTGAGACTTAGCATGTGAAATCTTAGGAGTTTCAACTTAATTTATTTGGGATCAGATTCTTTTCATTAGAAAACTGTAAAAATAATCTTATTTCACTTAAAAAAATTCTAGCATTTAATGAAATCTAGACCCTGATGCTGGGAGGGATTGGGGGCAGGAGGAGAAGGGGACGACAGAGGATGAGATGGCCGGATGGTATCACCGACTCAATGGACATGAGTTTGAGTCAACTCTGGGAATTGGTGATGGACAGGAAGTCCTGGCGTGCTGCGATTCATGGGGTCGCAAAGAGTCGGACACAACTGAGCAACTGAACTGAACTGAACTGAAAGCCATCTATAATAATTCAGAAAATTATTTATGCAAATTGGAGAATAAAGTTAAAATTCACTGTCAAGATCCAAAGTTCCTGAGCTATTTGTAATAACTCAACCTATAAAATCACCAAAAACAGTCATTTTTTTTCAAAAACAGTAATCTTATACAAATTCTGAGGAAACTTTTTCACCAAATTTTTCTTCATTAAAAAATTTAAATTATATAACAATAAACCTGCAGATACATCTCATTTTTTTCAACCTTTATTTTCCCTCTAAATTTATTTGCTATGATAGCCATTGGAAAGCTTTCTATGAGTTTCCAAAACTGATAATCACTGACATTTACTCATTATTGGCATTTAGCAACCCTAACTATAGCTTTAAATGCTGTTTACTTTGTTATACCATCAACCAGGAGTTAGCATCTTTTAGCATCATTTCTGTAGTTAAGAAGCCAATGCAATTTAGTGGAAAGTATTTGTATTTCCCACTAAACTTGTAGCAATTTATCTAGTTATTTATTTTTGCTATTTTACTCTCTCTTCATTTCAAAGTGTATAGCATACTAAACCTAAAACATACTTCTTCTACTACTTCACTCAAAAGAAATTAATTATATTTTGCCCATGGAAATTGTGTGCGTATGTATATAAAATTTATCAGGCATCCTTCCATGTGGTATGCTTCTGAGAATGAAATTTATACACACACTTACACACACACATATTCAAGGTCAGGAAGTATGTTATTACAATATACAAAGCAGTAAGTAAATTCCATAAATTCTGTACCAATGTTAATTATTTTTTAAAAAATAGCTGTTTATTTATTTGACTGTACCGGGTCTTAGTTGTAGTATGTGGGATCTAGTTTCCTGAGGAGGGATCAAACCCGGGCCCACTACATTGGAAGCATGGAATCTTAGCCACTAAACCACCAGGAAATTCCTCAATGTTAATTTTTAACAATCATGTATAGATGATAGCTTAGTAACTTGATAAAATATTTATCTCAACAGTGATTCTGATTAGAGTTGCTATTCTATTTCTGGCTTATTAAATGATAAGCTACTTATAACTATATGCAAAAAATATTTTTAAGTAACCCTTAATAATTACAAATTAATCTCAAAGGATTATAGGCAGAAAGTCAGGAAGAGATTAGTATCTGCCTCAGCTACTTACAGACACCTCTACTTCACTTTTACATTCAGTTATACATTTTTCCTACAAATGGCAGCTTCTTTGCTTATACTAAAGCTAGCAATGTCTTTTATAAATAAGATCTTACCTGAATGCTTTTCCTCTAGGTGTGTTGCTAAATCTGACATCTTCACAAAGGAGGGTATGTTTTTTTGAAATTTTGCTTTAAATGTAATTGCCCTTATATCATCATCAAACAGGCACTCACAGGATGACCATGGTGTTGTATGCAATTCTAGGTTCTCCAGGATGCAATTGCGCTGAACAAAAAGATACTTAAATTCCCAAATATAATCTTAAACAAAACAAAAACAAAAAGTTACCAAAAGGAAATTATCTAGGATTAAAACCAGATTAAACAGACTGATCTGATTAAATCAGTTAAATACAACTTTTATCACATTAAGGAATTTGGATATAAAGAGGCAAAAAATGAATGTTGTATTAAGGCAATAAGAGTGGTAGAGATAATTTTAACAAAATTTTTTCTAAAGATTACTTGGTCTCCTAAACAGTCATAACTTATCATAACCAACTGTTTATTCAGAATAGCAAACTTTCATTCTGATTATCTACAGGAAAAGATTTTTTTTTTTTAATAATGACATAGAAATGAACACATGTTTACCATAACCAATATTACTCAATGATTTTTCAATACCTTAGTTTTCTTATTTAGCTAACTTTTTCGGAACAACAACAAAAAAACATTTAGATTCAGTTGCTCCTATTTTTAATTCTTTCAGTAACAGTTCTGAACCACAGCAGCACAGACTTTCTCACTTAACAATCGGACTGTGCTGTGCTGTGCTTAGCCGCTCGGTCATGTCCAACTCTCTGTGACCCTATGGACTGCAGCCCACCAGGCTCCTCTGTCCATGGGGATTCTCCAGGCAAGAATACTGGAGTGGGTTGCCATGCACTTCTCTAGGAACAATCAGACTATATATTAATAAATTCAACTTTAAAACTATATTAAAACAAAAATAAGTTTCTTAGTACAAAGTCTTCTAATGACAATTGTCGTTTTATTTTCCCACATACTTCAGGTTATAAATCTAAATCACACATCTCATCCACTTCCTCAGTTTCTCTGGACAGCTATTTTTTGGTGGGAAATTTTAAAACAAGTCAGTAAATCTGTATAGACAGAGCATCGTTAGAAAGAGCTAAAGCATGTATATTCCAAGTTGTTGCTTAAAACCAATCACTATTTTTTTATTTTTTTTCCATTTATTTTTGTTAGTTGGAGGCTAATTACTTTACAATATTGTAGTGGTTTTTGCCATACATTGACATGAATTGGCCATGGATTTACATGTGTTCCCCATCCCTATCCCCCCTCCCGCCTCCCTCTCCATCCCATCCCTCTGGGTCTTCCCAGTGCACCAGCCCTGAGCACTTGTCTCATACATCCAACCTGGGCTGGTGATCTGTTTCACCCTTGATAGTATACTTGTTTCAATGCTATTCTCTCTGAACATCCCACCCTCGCCTTCTCCCAGAGTCCAAAAGTCTGTTCTGTACGTCTGTGTCTCTTTTTCTGTTTTGCATATAGGGTTATCATTACCATCATTCTAAATTCCATATATATGCGTTAGTATACTGCATTGGTCTTCATCTTTCTGGCTTACTTCACTCTGTATAATGGGCTCCAGTTTCATCCATCTCATTAGAACTGATTCAAATGAATTCTTTTTAATGGCTGAGTAATATTCCATTGTGTATATTTACCATAGCTTCCTTATCCATTCATCTGCTGATGAGCATCTAGGTTGCTTCCATGTCCTGGCAATTATAAACAGTGCATGTGTCTCTTTCAGATCTGGTTTCCTCGGTGTGTATGCCCAGGAGTGGGATTGCTGGGTCATACGGCAATTCTATTTCCAGTTTTTTAAGGAATCTCCAACCACTCTTTTAAAACAATTTTCTTGTCTTATTACAGAATACATGCTTAGAAATCACAGGTAAGATAAGCAAAGAAATAAATGGCAGTTATAGTCAACACCTTAAAATAGTATTTTAGTGTCCATGCAGTTCTCAATTTGTTTGATTTTTACTTACTTTGTCAAATGTATATTTTATATGTCATTAAGTATTATTCTACATTATTTTAAAATACTACATAATATGTCATTGCACAGGTACACCAAAATCTTAAAAATTATTAGTGCTATCCTCTCATGTTTCTTATTTTTCACTGTTATAAATCTAGTACTATGGTAAAATATTTTTAGCTACATCTTAATGCATAGTCATGATAAATTCCTATTAAGTGTCATTATTAGGCCAAAGGTATCCCAAATTCTAAGGCTTTCATACGCACTGTCAGTTGTCCTCAAGAAATGTTGTTCCCCTGAAACTAATACACTGTGAGTCAATTACGGGCTTCCCTGGTGGCTCAGATGGTAAAGAATCTGCCTGCAATGTGGGAGACCTAGGTTCCATCCCTTGGTTGGGAAAATCCCCTGGAGGCGGGCATGGCAACCCACTCCAGTATTCTTGCCTGGAAAATCTCAAGGACGGAGGAGCCTGGCGGGCAGTCCATGGGGTTGCAAAGAGTTGGACATGACTGAGCAACTACACACACACACAAGTCAATTATACTTCAATTAGAAAAAGAGGGAAAAAAAGGGTTGCCAGTTTACATCTTCTATAGTCTACAAGAGTGGTTATTTCCCCATATCTTCCCTACTGATTTCATAGGACAAAAATCAGTTGTCATTATTATTTGTCTGCCTTCCATTGCTAGTAAGAATAATTTTTTTCATACATTTATTGGCCACTTTAATTTCTTCTTTGAGGACCTGCCTGTTCACATCTATTGCTCATTTATTCTCACAAGTATTTGACTTTAGATTATGCTGTTAATTTCTGACAAAATACAATTTCTTTTCTGGTTTTTCACTTGCATTTTAATTTTGCATATGGTGATTTTCATGTATGGTAGTTTTTGTTATAGCATTTTATTTAACTTACTAATCTCTGGGTTCCAAATAAGTTCACTTGTATTTTCTTCTAGTACTTTCTGTTCCTTTTTAAAAGTATTTGAATTTCTAATGCATCCAGCATTTATTTTGGCACAAATATGAAGCATAAGTTTAATTTTTATTTCTTCTCAAATTGTTAGATAGATATTTCAAATATATCTACTAATTTTTAAAGAAAAATATTTGCTTTAATTTTTAAATTATAAAATAAAATGTACTTTTTATAAAATATTTAGACAGTAAAAGAAAGGTAATAGGCAAAGTAAGATTGTCTGTTTCAATAAAATGGATAATGGGTACTTTAGTTCATTGTATTATTCTGTTTGTATGTTTGAAGTTTCATTGTACTAAACGGTTTAAAGAATAAATGCAAATTCCATACATGCATAAAATTCAAAATAAAGATATAAAAAAGTAAAAACCACATAATACTACTAGAGATGGCTAGCACTTTAGTACCTGTATTTCCAGATTTTTTAAAGTGTATATACATACTTATATATCCACTTTTATTAAAATGAGATCCTATTATACATGAAGTTTTATAATCTACTTTTTTTAAACTAAATATTATATCTATACATCTATCCAGGCTAGTGAACATACATATCTTTGATAGTGAATCTGTGTGTCCACCAGACCACAATGACCCCCTTAACTATTCCCTCACCCACTGAAATCCGCTTACACACTCCAACTGGTACTTTGTGTTTTACCTTTTAGCACAGCATGCGGGACCTTGGTTCCCACGCCTCCTGCAGAAGTGCAGAGCCCTAACCACTGGACCACAGGGAATCCCCCAACTGGTACTTTTTGATCCTGTCTTACAGGCCACAGTGGACTGAATCAAATTCAAACTAGGCAATCAGATTCTCTTTACTGGGAATTTAGAAATGGGACTGGTCTCTTAAAAGGAAAAGTAAAACAGGAGCTACAGAGTAACAATGTTTTATCCACAATGTTGAGAAGCAGAGAAAGTCTCTAGGAAGTAAATAAAGCAAACCCATGGAGATGTTGCCTGGACCCAGAAAGCTTTTCTGTTCCTAGTTCCAAGTCCCCCTGAAACCCATCACTCTTGCCCTCTTTACTAGGATATACTCCTGTACACTTCCAATATAGCCCCCTTAATCATTTAAGTTAACCATGACTGAGTTCCAGTGTGAAATTCGAGCCTTCAGTGCCCAAGTTTAAATACAATTTCTCAGTACAGCCAACGGACTGCACAACCTTCATGTGCAACCATTTTTACCTGTGTGATTTTTTTCTTATCATTTGAAACAAGCTATTTCCTCCTTGAACTTGCCTCTTTATTCCTTAAAGACAGTGGGAATTTTAAATGGCTGCCTGATCTATATTTTATTCTTCAATCATTTCTAAAGAAAGTATCTACTAGTGCAGGCAGTGCTGTGTGATGAGGATACAATGGTGAACAGGCTAATCAGGGTGTTCTTAGTCACAAACTTTTCAACCTACTGAGAAATTTAGTTAATTATCAAGCAAGCAAATCAGCTGGCTCATCTGTTTGTGTTAGGTGGCACAAGTGCAATACAAAGAGTGACGCGATAGGGAGTGATTATGTATATTCATGTGTGAGGCCTCTCTGGGGAAATGAAATTGGACAGCCATCTGTGTGGGAGCGCTGGAGGACAAAGCACTCTAGGCAGGGAAATACATAAATTCAAGATCCCAAAGCAGGAAAAAGTTTGGCGTGTTCAAGAAACAGAAAGGAGTCGAATGAGGGTTAAGCCAGTAAGTCTGAGGGAGACTGAGCAATACCAAGACAATTTGTGATACAATTCTATGCTTCAAGCAGGAATTAAGGGTGTGAAGGAATAGCAAACCTCCATGCAGATATAACTGATTTTGCATGAAGCATAATCACAAAGGTTGGGATCACTTGTATTATTCTGTGCTTAATTAGTAATGTCATGAGTGTACTTTATTGTAATCTCTTATATTTTTTAAAATTAGACTTCTATTAAATGATTTCAGGAGAATATTGCATTGGAAAGGCACTTAGTTCTGAATAGCTTATTTTATGCATACCAAATTATTACCAAGAAGTGTAATTTATGTCCCTAGCCCACCCTCATGAGGACTTTAACTGTAAACAATGCTTGCTGCATATCAGGCATACCAAATTCCTACTAGCAACACATATTTAAAAAAAAACTGGGAATTAATTTCTTATTATTTTTCTCCAAAACATTACTCTTTTGTCTCTAGTATTCAGTAATTACTGCTTGACAATCACTTCTAATTAGATCACCTAAATGTGAGTTTGTCACCGTTGGGAACAAGGAAAACAAGGGCCCAGTACACACAGAATAATATAGAGAATGCCTCAAGAAATACTAAATGAATAGACAGAATACTAACAATTTGTGAAAGGAGAATCACTTACTTAAATGATTCTTCAAAATTGGATCTTTGAGGTATTAAGGCAGATATTAAAGCTTCAAATATAAATAAATATGCTGAAGAAATGAACAAAGAAACTACACCTTACTTCATGGATTTATAAATTTTCAACATTAACCTAAATATCAAAGAATTCTCTAGAGAAAATATACTTCCTCTTCTATTGACCAAATAACTATCAGCTTTAAAGGAATATTCATATTAATCATGGAGCAATCTGCTTTGCTACAGCTCCACTATAATTGGAATGCCACCTTTGATCTACATTCTGCTCAGCATGCAGCTGACTCATGTTCCTGACCATGACACAGTGGTCAATAATGATGGTTTGTATATCATTGACACATGTTTTTCAGATTTCTCAACCAAACAAATATTTGCCACTGTTTGATCTTAACATGAAAGCCAAAATTCAGACTTATCTCAAATCCTAGTTATGGGCTATTAATGATTAAGAGAGGCAATGTGATAGATCCTTAGATAACTATTTTGAACTATCTAACTATCCTTAGATAACTATTTTGAAATAGAAGTTTGCAAAGGCATATTAACTCTTCCAGGTAAAAAAAAGAATGGATCACATACCTAATCAACCTCTGAATTAGTTTACCAGAGTAAAATAACTCAGAAGCCACTAATTAAACTGTCTCTGATTGTTACAACTAAAGGATCTAATACCAAAATGAAGATGTTACACTATTTTATATTGAAACATCAATTCAGTTCAGTTCAGTCGCTCAGTCGTGTCTGACTCTTTGCGACCCCATGGACTGCAGCATGCCAGGCCTCCCTGTCTATCACCAACTCCCAGAGTTTACTCAAACTCATTTCCTATGAGTCGGTGATGCCATCCAACCATCTCATCCTCTGTTGTCCCCTTCTCCTCCCACCATCAATCTTTCCCAACATCAGGGTCTTTTCCAATGAGTCAGTTCTTCACATTAGGTGGCCAAAGTATTGTAGTTTCAGCTTCAACCGCAGTCCTTCCAGTGAATATTAAGGACTGATTTCCCTTAGGATGGACTGGTTGGATCTCCTTCCAGTCCAAGGGATTCTCAAGAGTCTTCTCCAAAAGCATCAATTCTTTGGCTCTCAGCTTTCTTTATAGTCCCACTCTCACATCCATACATGATTACTGGAAAAACCAGACCTTTTGACTAGACAGACCTTTGTTGGCAAAGTAATGGCTCTGCTTTTTAATAAGCTGTCTAGGTTGGTCATAACTTTTCTTCCAAGGAGCAAGCGTCTTTTAATTTCATGGCTGCAATCACCATCTGCAGTGATTTTGGAGCCCAAAAAAATAAAGTCTGTCACTGTTTCCACTGTTTCCCCATCTATTTGCCATGAAGTGACGGGACTGGATGCCATGATCTTAGTTTTCTGAATGCTGAGTTTTAAGCGAACTTTTTCACTCTCCTCTTTCACTTTCATCAAGAGGCTCTTTAGTTCTTTGCTTTCTGCCATAAGGGTCGTGTCATCTGCATATCTGAGGTTACTGATATTTCTCCTGGCAATCTTGATTCCAGCCTGTGCTTCATCCAGCCCAGCATTTTTCATGATGTACTCTGCATATAAGTTAAATAAGCAGAGTGACAATATACAGCCTTGACGTATACTCCTTTCCCTATTTGGAACCAGTCTGTTGTTCCAATTCTACTTAATTTAATACTTCATAAATGATTAACTGATGCTCTAATGAAAAATATAATCATGGGTCATACTTTAAACATGAACATTCTATGGGTCTAATAGTCCATGCTTTTAAAACAACTGGAATAAAAACCTGGAACACAGTAACTCATTAAACAGTAACACTGTGACTTGAAAGAGTTAATGCAACTCCTCTAACATCTGCCCTATAACCAGCGAGGAGTTTATTTATCAGAGTACCTTGGCTGAATAAAAATTGTAGAAGCATCTCCAGAATTAAATTTTTAAACAAGATTATCCAAGGAAGTTAAGATCTTCAATCTTCACTAAAAAGGTAAAGTAGTATGCCTGGGAATAAATGAAAGCTTCTATTTTGCTGCCATTAATTACAGAGGATTATAGATCATTGAATTGTTTACAGGAGGTAAAAAATTGTAACAAGAAATCTTCAAAAGAATATTCAATCATGCTCAATTATATTTCAAACGTTGTCTGATCTCCAGAGTCCCTTCATCTTAGGCTCATAAGCATTAATCATTTACTTATCTATAAATAGATTAAATGCTTTTTGGTATATTTACCTTTTTTCCTTTGAAGTTGAGGGTACCAGGCTGCTCCAGGACCCCATAATACAAGCACATAATGTTGACCTTGGGTCTGTTCCACTGTTAACATAACTTTCCTTTGCTTCTGTCCTCTATAACTGTATAACGCCTCTGGAAAAGGAAACGAAATATTTAGTTGGCATTACTCTACTGCATGTGATATCATACTTTACTGTCTAATGATAAATATCTACTGATAACCAAATGGTACACTAAGACAGTCCTGTACTTAAGTTTCTTTTAATCAAAATACAGTTGATCTATAGTATCACGTTCGTTTTAGGTATACAGCACAGTGATATACATACTCTTCCTTCAGATTTTCTTCCCTTATATGTTATTATAAAATACTGAGTACAGTTCCCTGTGTAATACAGTAGGTCCTTGTTATATCTTAATTTTTTTTATAACTTAAAATTAATGAAGTAGCCAAAATATTTACCAGTCAGTACAGAGATATCAACAACTCTTAGAATTGCATGGACTAGTATGTCTGGCTGAAGCTGCTCCAATTCTATAAATTCTATACTGCTCATTTTCTGAGGATGCCTCTGAGGAAGATCTCTGAGATAGGAATGTTTTGAAGATACATATGCCAGTAAGTCTTGAAGTACAACATTACTAATCATACTGGAATCTAGGAAAGAAAAAAAAAGACCATATATACAAAAGAGGGAAACATTATATTTTCTTGATAACATGGTATTTTCTTAGAACTGTATTTTATGTTGCAAAGTGTGATTAAATGCCAAACACAATTTCATTTTTATAAAGCATGTAGCTTACCCTTGAACCAATTTAGATGCCAAAATAAGCTTGATGTTTTTAACCAATGGAAATGGAATTATTTATCATCTGCAAAAAAAAAAAACCTGCCCTGTTCCCTTATTTCTCTATTTCATTAACAGTATCATTTTTCTACCAATTAACCAAGACCAATATTTCAGGTTTTTTTTCTTTTTTTTTTTTCAGTTTTTTTTTAATCGGGGTATAGTTGCTTGACAATGTTGTGTTAGTTTCTGCTATACAACAAAATGAATCAGCCATATATAAATGCATCAATTATTTTTTTGACTCCTCCATTACCCTGTTATATTCAACCAGCGCCCTAACCCCTGAAATCTGATTTGATCACGTCTTCCTCAACTATTCCAACCACCACTATTCTTCTCAACTGTTAGCATTTCTCATCTGAAATACTCCTAACACTCCTCTAACTGGCCCTCCCAGAACATGTCTTATGCTTTCTCACTTTTATGCCTCTGCCCTCACCATATTCACTGGCTACAATGCTATCATTCTCCTCACTAACCACCCATCTGAATACTGCACAGAAAAACAACCATTTGAGACTCCCAGTGCTAGGGATACAAAGACATGATTCCAAGGCTGAAGAAATTATCAGCCTAGAGGCTGACAACCAGCACTGTGCTTAGGATATAGGTGACAGGTGTAAGTGTTCCTAAGAGCACACCTAAAGGCCTGCCCAGGGAAGTTGGAAGAGGCTTTCTTTATTGAGGAAATATTTGAGCAGTGCTTTGGGAAAATGCATAAGAAAAGGTTTCTAGGTAGTAACTGAGCAGAAGAATATGTTTCCAGGTAAAGAGAAAGGGTTAGTAATCCTTTACATATCTCAGATGCTTTTGGTATTCTGATAAAGCATATGGACCCATTATCAGAATAATATTTTTATAACAACCTTACTGGAATATAATTCACATACATAAAGTTCACCCTTTTCCTTTTTTTTCTGGCCACACTGTGAGGCTTATGGGATCTTAGTTCACCATCCAGAGAATGAACATCAGCAGTGAAAGTGCAGATTCCTAACCACTGGACCACCAGGGAATTCCCAAGTTCACCCTTTTAAAGTATACATTTCAGTGTTTTTGCTTTTTGTACTCCATAAAGTTGTGTGGCTATAACCATTATCTAATTTTACAACATTTTTATTACAGAGTAATATTTTAAAATTCATTAAATGAAATAGGATAGTAAAACAAATTGTATGGAAATACAGTAATCAAAATATTTTTAAAACTGAGGATAACTTATGTGCCTCATTAAAACATTAAATAATAAGATATAGCAGAGTATGCAGCAACTACTATAACTTCAAAGTATGCCAAAGTATCATGTGGATAAATAATATTCAAGTTATCTCCAACAACTATATTGTGATATGAAAATATATGTGCTTTCCATTGGTGATCAAGTCACAAGTATTGAAAATATTACTGTGGATTGTCACCTTATTCATAATGGAAGGAAACGCTAATTTTCAGTAGGCAATTAGTGAAAATAAAGATGTAATACTTATGGTTAACAGAGATGGGGTGCAGTGAGGGGGAATTGATGGAAGGCAGTCAAAAGGTATAAAGCTTCAGTTATAAGATAAATAAGTACTAGGGGTGTGATGCACAACACGATAAATATAATTAACACTGCTATATGTTATATATGAAAATTATTAAGAGAGTGAAACCTAAGAGTTCTCATCACAGGAAAAATATTTTTTTCTCTTTAATTTTATCATCTTTTATCATCTCATTCATATGAGAATGATATTCACTTAACTTACTGTCATAATCATTTCATGATGTATATAACTCAAATCATTATGTATTATGCTGTGTACCTTAAACTTCCACAGTGCTGTATGTCAAGCATATCTCATAAAACTGGCAGGAAAAAAAAGGGATGTAATATCTTCCCATCCAAGTTTATGAATGCTTTAATGAAGAAGAATCAATTTTCACAGACAAAAGTAGAACATTTTAGGAGGCTAATGACCATCCGGCAGATGGTAAGAGCTGGAAACCAGGCAAGACTGCATGAAGGAGAAAAGGGTGCCAGACTTGTGAACTAGTTCAGAGGTAGAATCTAAGAAACAATCAGATGTGAAGGGTAAAGAAAAGATTGCAGAAGACAAGATTTCTAGTATAGCTGAGTGGATGGATAAAAACAAATGTCCTAAAGTTTCCAGAACCTGATATGAAATCTATTCTAATTAAGGTTACTTAATTCATAAATGTATTTTATAAAACAATGGTGATATCATAACAAAGATAATGAACAAAAAAGAAAAGAACAGATAGCATGAAAGATGAATGAGAAAGAGAGGAAGAGTGAAGATAAGACATTATAGCAAAACCCAACTCCAAATATCTCCTTCTAGAGCTCCAGTTTATTCACCAGGTGTTCTGATTCCTCTTTCACAATATTTCCAGCACATCTGGAACCAGAAGAACTGGGTTCAATTCTGACTTTGTCAATAATGACTCTTCTGAACTTGTACATAACTTTTCTGGGATTTATTCTTTATCTGCAGAAAGAGCTTTGGAGGGAGGGGAAGCTCCCTAACATCAAATTATTTACTAATTCTTGCTTCATAAAAATTTGTACAGAAACATTTGATTACTGAGATTCAAAATAAAATAGTCTACTTCATGGGAACACTGTGTTAAAACTTTTATTTATATATTTAATTTAGTAATATTTAAGATAAATTTATATCCTGTCACATTATCAGGACTAAATTCATAAAATTTATAACACTTTACTATAATGAGAAAAGAACAAAAGTTCTATATGTATGTTGATCAGAAGTAAGCTTTCATGAGTTGTAACAACTTGAAAAAATAAAAACCAAAACTGACTTCTTTCAGAAGAAAAACAACTGCAATATTTTCAAACTGTCAACTGTTAACTATTTTCAAAACAGTTATCTAGTCATACAAAAAAGCCTTAGAACATACTTTATTTAGCTACTAACTTGTGTAACCTGTGAAAAACAAGGAAATATAAATTCCTATATAAGTAGAAAAACAAATTTGAAGTAACTTCAAAAGCTATTTAACTAGCTCAATATTTTTCACAGTATTCTGCAAAAACCTGAAGCTACCCAGAGTTTCCATGGCATATTCTCCATCCAGAATTAGATCCTTAGATCTTCATGAAATTACTCAACTAGAGCAATCTTACTTGAATCCAGTTCAGTCTTAAAATGAGATTTACATCTATCTCTCAAATCCTGTGAAAAATACTTACATTCCATGTTATTTTCATTATTTTAAAACATTCTTTATCCTTCCATTGTATCAACAACTATAAAACATCTGTAATAACATCTCTAAAAGCCATTTGACTCCTTGGAAATGTGCTTTCCAAGATGTAGCAACTTCAAATGTTCATAATAAAACATTAAACTTAAATCTTTTAAAGAAATCCCAAAACTAAAAAAAAAAAAAATCCCAGGCTGCTTTTGACCACTTTCTCTTTTACCTATCAGAATAATCTATCAAATTTCATGAACATCTTACTGGGACTTTGACTGGAGTTTTACTGAATCACAGACCAGCTTGGGGAGAACTGAAACCGTCACAATGTTAAATCTCAATCAGTGAAGAAAATATGTTTAATCTTTTACTTTTTCATTTTTTCATTTAACAACGAAATTGTTAAATCCACATGATAATATTGTAAATGGTGCCTTGTCTTCATTTGTTACTAGTCGTTAGTCACTCCATTCTAGAAATGCAATTGACTTTTGTGTATTAACCTTTTACGTGATCACCTTGCTAAACTTTCCCATTATTTCTAATAATTTGCTTGTAGTTTTAAGAGGGGAAGGATTCTTTGTAAATCTATAAATAATAATCATAATAATCCATCATGTTATCCACAAACAGGAAACTAATACTGTCCAAATATTAATGTTATTAACTAAATTATAAACCTTACTCAAATTTTACCAATTTTCCCACTAATCTTCTTCTGTGTAGCATCCTATCCAGGATTCTACATTACATTTAGTTCTTCCTTCTCTTTACCCTCCTTTAGTCTGCAGTAGTTTTCAATCTTGTCATTCATGACCTTGACACTTCTGAAAAGTATCGATCAGTTACTTTGTAGAATGTCTCTCCATTTGGGTTTCTCCAATGTTTACTCATGACTGAAATGAGGTTATGCATTCTTGGCAAGAATATCACAAAAATTATGCTGTGTTCCTGTCAATGCAACATAGCAAGGAATTCATAATATCCTTAATAATACAGAGAATATTTACCTTGATCACCCAGATAAGTTTATGTCAGCCAAGTTTGTTCACCATAAAGTTATTTTTCCCCTTGTAAGTTGATAACTACCTTGGGGAGATACTTTGAAATGATGCAATGCTATTTCACCCCCAAACTTCCACCTACTAATTTTAGCATCTATTAAAGGATCCTTGTTTGCAATATTTATTACTGAAGCAGTTACCTGATGGTAAGTCTCTGTTTTCTTCTTTCTTCTCCCATTTATTCATTGGAATTCCAATTTATCCAATGGAATTGTGAAAGAGAGCTCTCTCATTTATTTACTTGCTTACTTATTTTGTAAGTTAGTTAAATATGTATATCAGTATGAATCCATAAATATCTTATTCTAAGGGCTATAATCCAATACCATCTTTTCTTTTTTTCTTCAATTGTTCCAGTTCTTGCCAACAGGCTCTCCTTCAAGTTGGCTTTTATGTTCTTTCAAAACAAACCTTTTCTGACACCATGAAAGTTCCAGGCTCTTCTCGGATTTTCTTCATCCCAGGCCTGTAATCAACCACTTCTAGCAGTGCTGATTCCTCTTACAGACCAAGAT